GATATCGATGATTCGAGGGAACGGCAGACGTCCTGCTCGGCTAGTCGTCCTTTATATCCGCGCCAGGATACGAACGGGAAGGGACGTTAATATCGCGACATCATTCAGATTACCGAGAAGTACATACTATCCCCTCGAGTCGCCTGCATTCGTCTCCTTCTTGCCTGACTTTGATTTCTTTTTCTTTCTTTTTTCTTTTTCTTCTCAAGGGGCGATGTTTGCGGGACCTGCGTTGACCTCGAGAAACCGCCCGTCCTCATCCTCGGGACATGCGACGCGCTTCCCGGCGAAGCCGTAAGAACGACAGTTCGGCACGACGTGCGCCTTCGTCGCGGTCACGACGAGCGACTGTCACGAGGGTGGAACGCGCTCGCAGCGGGGGTGTCTCGGCAGCGAACGGGAATCGGACACACGAATCGGACACACACACGCAACCGCAGCCACTACCCCGTCACTAATCACGACGCAACACGCACGCAACACTTGCGCGTATGCAGCAGCGAGCGTACCCTACCTATATTTGTAATAAGCGTATTTTCGGAAATTCGGCCAGGTGCTACAATTACCACCTTGTTCGTACATTGTTTCCCCGCAAGTCTCAACGGACACACGACGCGCCCGCTCGCTGCTGCCTCGTATGGCGATTCCCGTACGGCCCGACGTAGGTCGACGTAGGTCGCCATTGATCGTAGGGCGAGAGGAGCTGCTTCAGCGAGACGCGTGATTCGGCGGGACATTCACACACAGCGCGGTTTAGTGAAAGGATGAACGTTCACGAGAGAGAAAGAAGCAGCAGCGGCAGCGGCAGGAGAAGCAGGAGGAGGAGATGCAGAAAGAAGAGAAGGAAAGCGGGAGAATCACCGTCGTCGTTGTAGCAGCTACGGGGATGATATCGGTTGCGACTTTCTTTTGCGGAACGATATTGTCATGAGAGAATTGTTGCGCGCTGCCCTCGCGATTAATCGATCTCTGTCTCTCCCTCCCTCTCTCTCTCTCTCTCTCTCTCTCTCTCTCTCTCGCTACTACTCTTATCAGACGTGACACCTGCGGTCGCGAAAATCTCGAACGCTCGTGGGGGAGATGCAGTATTTGATGCGGCCTCTTAATTACTTCTAGTTAGACACGGTGGAAACTCTGATTGCGAACTTCGCGTGCGCACGCCAATTTATTGCAGATTTTTATTGTTCCACAGTCGTTCGAGCTTCGCACACCGCGCGGAACAAGGTGATCCGGAGATTGTGAGGGAGCTTTTCCCCCTTCCCCGTCACAACCTCCTTCATAAACGGCGTTTCGCAGTTTGCGACAGTCGCTTCGTACAAGAGTATCCGCCGGAAGCACCTTTCCACGGTAGAAGCGTATGCGTTTTGCGTAAATGATTACATGTACAACGATAATTAGGTTTCCTTACGACTAACCCAGTTCTGTCGCGCCAAAGTATAACTCGCCGACTTAATATCTATTATATAACTGTCGCACGCCCTCCTCTCTCACTTTCTCTCTTTCACGCAAATACGCACACACACATACATACACACACACACACTCTCTCTTTCTCTCTCTCTCTCTCTCTCTCTCTCTCTCCCTATCTACTCTCTTTCACGCACACACACACATATACACATGCGCACACTCTTTCTACATCCTCCCTAATAAATTTCTCGAAGAATAGAATATTCGATTATATTATTACCCACGACACGAGAAATAAATCAACAATCCGATATATCTCGCTGCGTAACAAGACGGACTAGCCCACAAGAGAAAAAAAAAATATATATATATATATATATTTATGTATATGCAATAAAAAATCGCGAAATCAATCTTTGAGCCAACCGTGTGTTGGGAAACGCTCTAACGGAACAACAGACAGTTGTATCAAAAATTCCTTAACGTACGTAATATACGATGAAGAAACCAGCGGTTATATAACACTCGCGATTAATAACACGAACGGAGGACGACACACACTGGGGTGGGAGGGACCCGGATCACGGGTCCGCGGGGGAGACGTAACGAAAATATATATCCTCTAATACGCACGAAATTTCTTCCGTTTAAGATTCTTCTCCGTTCCGCTTCAAGTCGTAAGCGTTGCGCTCGTATATGTGCGCGCACGCGCGAACGAGCGAGCACGATGTCATGGCTTAGATGAGAAAGGTAACGTTACACATTTACAACACTACGCAACTTGTCCCCGGTCCTCACGCGCCCGCGCGCGCTTGAAACGAAGACGAAGACGACGAAGACGACGACGACTTCGCCGGTCTAGCTATACTCCGTAAAACTTATCGATTTTAAGAAGACGATTTAAAGTCGTCTCTGAGACCGTCTAAAACGATTCGAGGATCGAGGTTTTAACGTGACGATAATCGCCTGGACATTTATCGTCGCCGAGTCGATTGTTCTAAAAGGGTGGAGGGGGGAGGGGGGAGTGGGGATAAAAACGAATGTGTAAACACAGATGGGCTTTGCGAGCCGAGGAGGAAAAGATTGCGGAAGAGAACGAGGCCAGTTTTCTCTTTTCCTCCCTCTCTCTCTCTCTCTCTCTCTCTCTCTCTCTCTCTCTCTCTTTCTCCGTTGTTGTTTTTTCATTATTCGGCTTAATACTAAGTTAGCCAGGTAAAAGTTACGCGTGGTCCAGTACTCAGAGACGGGATTTAATTGAACGGAAAATGAAGTTTTTACCTCGTTATCGATTGCCGATGCGATCACTTAAAATATTCACCCGCCGTGCAAACGTACGTACCTCTATTGATCTGTTCGAGAGGGAGGACAGAAATATAAATTCCATTCTTCCAAAGAATATGCACACGAAGGCAATTAAAAATATAGGACGCTTCTTAAAAGCTCGCTTATTAAAAGGAAAAAAAAAAAAAAAAAAAAGAGAGAGGAAAGCGGATAATGCACGCGGCGTGTAAAAAGTATCGGATTGACGTAAGAACGAAAAATAAACTGCACACGAATCTTTGGTGAACGGCCGCGAAACGGTGATTATGTAATATGTATGCATGTTCCGGTTGTAATTATACGCATTCGAGGGAAGAATACAAATATAAAAATATACATACAGGGATCGTTCCGATGCCCGGCGCAATCCGCCGCGTTTGTCGAAAATATCGCTACACCTCTCAGGATTGCCAACTCCGACCGCTACCTTCGCCGGGGATTGTGGGAGGGTGGGAGGGACGGAGGCAGGTGGATTCGATTCATTGTCCGATACTATCCGGGATCATCATCAGGCGTAACTATTAATTCGCGGGGGAATTCAATTAAATTCGCGGCACGCAAGTGGGGGAACCTGATCTGATTATCCTTATTGGATGGAGACTTCTATTACGCCAGATCGAAATCTCTTTCGACCCTTTTCTTTCTCCGTGGTCGATTTTGCCGAGCGTTCGGACTGTCGCGCAGCGGCACGAATTACGAATTCGTTACGAGTGGACAAAGGGAACGCGAAGGTGTGACGGAGAGCCGCGGCGAAAAGAAAAGGAACAAAATCAGAAAAAAGGAGAGAAGACAGTCGACACCACCCCTGTAAGAAACGTGTTGAGACGTTGGTAACGTACGAAAATTAAGACGAAATCTATATAAAAAGAAAATAACTAAAGTGGGGAAAAAAATGGAAAGGAGAGAATACGAGATAAAATCCAGCCAAAGTAGTTCGATGAACCGCGCGTGCGCGTATCTGAGTACGTACCACAAGTACTCGTAATCCGACGTGTGTCTGTGCGTGCGTGTGCGTGTGCTTTTTTTTTTTTCTTTGTTACAACTAATGTTATGCACATGCTTAGGCGTTCCTAAACGCGAAAGGAAATGCATCGAATGCAACGGTCGATTCGGCGAACTAAAACCGGCAAAGACCCGATTATCGACGTGTCACCCCTACAACGAATATCGACAGTAGAAATATTATAATCTTGTTAACGCCTCTCGCGTAAATTTAACAATAATAACAGATCATTACGAAATCGTTATATTGCATAATATGTACAAACTACATTTTGGTTTCCTTTTTTTCTTTATCTTCCTCTCTCCCCCTCTCTCACACCACACACACACACACACACACACACACACACACACACACACACACACATGCACGCATCACGCACACGCATTCTCGCTCTTTCTTTCTCGGTCGTTCCTCAAATCCCTGCGTCAATACTTAGAAGACACCTTAACCAACTATTGTTTCGTCGGAACAATCGCAACGGAAAACGATAAAACATCATGCAGGAATCCGAGGCAGCCGACTAATGATTCTACTCGAAACGTGACAAGTAGAACCTTTGGGAAGAGATGGTTGAAGCGACAGATCTACTAAACGCTAGACGAATAGATCTAAAGGAACAGGCGCATCCACGCGCAGCAAATTGGAAAACAATTTTTTTCCGTAAAAAGGGAAGAAATACATTTTTCTTTTTTTCTTTTTCTTTTTTTCTACCGAGAATCGCAACTGCGATGCAACGATAAATTACACACGTACGAAAAAGTTCTCTGTGATATTCGATCGCGGACAAAATTACATTTTTTACGAACGTAAATTTGTAAAATCAGCAGCTCGATACGTGACTCTCCCGATTGACTGTGACGAAAGGAAATTTCTTAAAATACATGTAAGAACGGTACACGTTTTTTTTCTTCTTTCTTTAAAAATACTTTCTAGTTTTTTTGTTTTTCTTATGTTCTCATTTCTTACGTTTAGAACGTGTAAAGCGACGCGTCGAGTAACACCTTTTGCTTGAAGATTTGTTACAGATGAACGAAATGTTGCCGAAATACTCAACGATGAATACTTATGTTTGTCTAAATACTCAATGAAGTACTTGACAAATATTCGATAAATATACAGTCTTCGAAAAGAGGAATGCATTGCGAATAAAATCAGGTGGCGAAAGATAAAAATTTGTGCGGTTCTCATCTGCCCCCCTCCCCCTCCCTCCCTCCCTCCCTCTCTCTCTCTCTCTCTCTCTCTCTCTCTCTCTCTCTCTCTCTCTCTCTCTCTCTCTCTCTCTCTCTCTCTCTCTCGCACACATACACACATACCACATATGGGATTAACATATCGGACATCTCTCTACTGACTTCGACGACAAGAGAACAAAATTATTTCAGTCGCATAGTTAAACTTTTTTACGGAGTCAACAAATTACGAGAGCTATCTAAAATTGCGTCTACTAATGAGTCAAAACACTAATGATCCGCTGAGTCACGAGTCATTTAGCGATCGGGGTCGTTGATTTCTTTCCCTAAACACGACATCACATCTCGCAGCATCTTTCGCACTACTGTACCATTTAGAACGCATGTGAAACGTTACTCGCGGCCGATGTTTTATACCATTACCATGTCCTCGTCAATATTGTTAATCGTCGGAAACGAATTGTCTGCCGAACTCTGCCTTTGAATGGGCTTCTTCCTTACGAGTCCGTCTGTGATTAATAAAAGCAAAAACCTTACTTACACCTAATAACCAACACAGCTAATCACCTGCCACCAACGTAAAGCGAATTTATCATGAAAATAGCGACTTGATCTCAAGTTCTCAACTTCTCAATCCTTTACGAGCATGCTTTTATTTTCACAACTTGTTTCTTCCTTTATACTCTCAGCCACATTAGAGCAAACAATAATGGAGAACAATGGAAGAAGCAATCGAAAAATGCCATCTTTTATGGATCTTTCAGGAAACAGTGTATCTCACGTGTATCGTTACGTGTATTGAAACGTATTCTGCCAATCGTTCGTGATGAAATACTCAAAAAGAGCGTACTCACCAGCGGAAGGCGGCAGAAGATCGTCGAGGGATCCGTCGTCCAAATCCGTGGCAGACAGGAGATCGTCGTCCGAGGAAGCCCTCGTCAAACTGGGTAGGGTAGACGTCAAGAGAGCTTTCTCTTTCTGAATCTCTTGTATGTGACCGACGAGTAACGCTTCCTCTTCGTCTCCCCGATCTCTGTCGCGATCCATCGCGCCACCTCTTCCCGCAACGCTCGGAATCGCCGCGTTCAGCTCTTCCGGGCTAAAGATCTTGGACGATCGTAGACTGGACAGTCTATGAGTCGCCGTGTGACAGGCGGACTCGAGGGTATTAATATCCGCTAACGTCGCCCTGACGACCCGCAATTTCTCCTGCACGATCGTCTCGACGCAACGCGTCTGTCTACCCACGTCCTGAAGGGAGTCCTGCGCGGGCAATGTCCTGTTCGTCCGGAGAATGCACGGTGCGAAGACTATCGCCAGAGCCGACGGCGACATTCTGTTGTCCACCTCGTGCCGTGCCACGCGCGCCAGGTGGACGATCAGACGTTCCATCAGATCGAAGTTCGGCTTCGGTAGTTTCTTCAGTATGGCGAAAAGTGTGCTGATCCTGTCGTGAGGGTCTGTCAAATTAGCCGCGTGCAGAAAATCGTCGTAGTACTCGTAGGTCAACAGCGGCTCCGGCATGTCTCTGAAGAAGCTCTTTAGCACCGCAGCTAGCACGTGCACTTGATAGTTCTCAAAGTCCACTTTCTCCAAGTCGCCCTCATCCATTTTCATCTTGAGCTCCCTCACCTTGGAACTGACGCCGCTCTTGCGGTATATACCCTCGGTGTAGAGACCGTGCATCTCGATTGTCGTGATCAGACGATCAACCACAAGCGGCACTTTACCGTCACCGCAATCCAGTTTATACAGCGGTACACCGAACACCTTGCGCGGATTGGTCTCGGATAGTGAGCCTTCCTTGCCGCACTCGGCCACTGCCTTCGTGTAGCATTTCTTGTGACATGTCAGTTTGCAGTCTGAAAGAATGAAGAATACATTCGTTATGATTAGGTGAGAGATTGCTCGGAGGAGTAGTAGTACGCGCCTGTATCGTTCGGCTGGGATTACTTACTTTGGCAAACGAGTCCTCGCTCGATCGGCCACATGAAGAAAGACGTGCAGACCTCGCAGGCGGTCGGTATGTTGATGATCGTCAACTGGAACATGTGACTGCCGTGCCGTATGGGCTCCTCCTGCTTCCGCTTCTTCTCCTTCTTCCGCTTGCTCTTGCTGTGCTTCTCGGGAGCTTCGGTCTTAACTATCGTCATAAATTCGTTCATGAAGCCCCTGAATGCATTCACGCCCATCGTTACTGGGAAATCTTCTCTCGTGTTCTCCTGCTTGCAGACGGTCTCCATAACGTGAAGAAAATTGGCGATCAAGTCGGTGTACTTGATGTTGCCCTCTACGCCTTGCTGAATGACGACACTGTACGTGATCACCAGATCTTCTTTAAATTTCTTCAGAGCTTGCCTAAAAACACGGTCCACCTCGCTCGGCTTCCGTCCCTCCTCCTGCCCCTCCATTACGTAGATCTTCTTGGTAATGAACTCTTGCATCAGTGCCAACTCCTTGGCATCGGAGATGATCTTGTCCGTGCTGTCGGAGAAGGCCGAGGTACCGGTCAGACTAAACTTGGACGCCACCGTCTGTTTCGTGGTGTCATACGGTGTTCGCGGTGGCTTCCTGTTTTTCCGTCTGTTCGGTGTGTTGGCCGACACGCATGGCATCTTTAGCACTCCGCCGTTCTGGATGCACTTGACGTGATACAGTTCCTTGCAGTCGATGCACTTGTAACCCTGCGTCACAAACGCATCCATCTTCTTGTAGCAACACACGCATACGTCGTCCTTCGCGAATCTCGCGACCTTCCGGAAGCGATGGCCGGCCAAGGTGAAAAGATTGCCCTTCCATTCGAGGAGATTCATGTTGGATTTCATGTCGTTGGGACTAGTGTCCGAGCCCATCTTATCCTCGTTCAGGCCCGAGATCTTCGTGGCCGGATCCGAGTTTCGTCTTCGTAGCTCGAGAGTCGTGATCGCGTTAGATCTCATGCGTTTACCGGGCTGTTGTCCCTTGTACGCAGCCTCGTTCTTGTTAATGGGCCAGTCCGTGACGGACCTGGACGTAGCCTCGTGCGGGTAATCTTTCCGGGACCACACGTGCGACGTTTTGTTCAAGTCGCTCTCCTTGATCGTGCCGAGGAAGAGATTTCGCGTCTCGGTGTTCGCCTCGGACACGCTCTCGCCCATTGATCGACACTGGACCTCCCTCGACGGTCTGTTTCGCCTGGCGCTTCTCACCGGCACGTCCGGCTCGTGCTTCTCCTTCGCTCGCGAGTTCTTCTCCTTCGGGGACGAGCCTCTCAACAAGGAGCTCTTCAGAGCACCGTCGTCGGCAACGTCCACCTTCGCCGCGGAGTCTCCTTCAGAGTTCTGTCGCCGCAAATAGGCGAGGTCTTTGACGCTCTTCATAGGCCCGTGCAGATGATCCCGTTTCGCGGGTGATATCGGAACGTTCTCTGTTCTTTCGTCAGGTACACTATTGTCACTGAGCCTACGCTGTTGCCTGGCACTCGCCAAGCTCTCCAACTGTGCGAACCGGTCGCTCGTGTCGAGCTTGACGTTGAAGTTCGCCGCTTCGTTCGGCTTTTCTTGCTGCCGGACCGGCTCGAACACGTTGTCGTTTATGTTCTTGTAGTGCGATACGTTCGGTGAACGAGTGACAGTCGCCTTCGGAGGCACCGACATGAAATAGTCGTAATTAGCGGACGAGTAGTCTGCTCTGCGACACCAAATGTCCGAGTTCGGGCTGTGCATTAGGTTCACGTTGGCGGAATGATACTTCATTTCGCGCGAACTGTGATACGGTGGGCTGGTGTTGAAGACCGGCGGGGCGCTCTGCACGGCATTGAGCGTTTCGCCCTCGGTCTCGCCGTCACTATACCCCGTCGAGGAACTGTCGGTTCTCCTGCTAACCGAGGAGAGTCGACTAGACGCGTTTATTAGGTTCACATTCGACGTGACCACCGGCGAATGGTCACCGCGCTTCGTCCTCGTGCTCGGCACCGGTTTCGAGCTCGAGTTATCCTGCGACTCGGAGCTATTAATGCTGGCTTGAGATTCGTAACTCCTCAAGCTCGTCAGACTCTCAAGACTGCTCTTGCGTTCCGTGATTTCATCGGTGAGGTACGTTTCCGTGCTCTTCAACGTCGGCGGTTCGTGCAGAATTCGCTTATTCGGCGTGAGCTTCCGTTTGGAATACGAGATGCTCGTATCCACTGCGCTCTCTCGATGCGCGTTATCGCCCCTGCAAGTAGATATCGATGAGTCTTGCGACGATTTTCCCTTCCTTTCGCAGTCTCCTCTCTGGATCTATAGAATTTTGACACCTACCTCGCTGACGTCAATCGGCTCTGAGATTCTATTTTCCGTGGCGAGACGCCGTATTCCGTCAGACTGCGATCTTCCGCGAACGATCTGTAAATTGCAAGAGAAAAGACACGATATAATATAATATAACGACAGCAAAAATTTGTTACATCGCGCGCGCAACAAGTAAACGTCACTTACTCCTCGCTGTCCCGATCTTTGGCGCACACTTTGTTGTCGTATATAAGATGTGGGTAACAAAGCTCCTTGAACTCTTGAAGTTCTTTGATCTCCTGGAGTTTATCCGATCTCTTCTGCTTCTTCAGCTCATTGCACCTCTTCCTGGCGTTATTGCCTCGGACGTACGCTTGGAAAGTGATCACGCACGACTTGAGCTTCTTGAACCAACTGTGCTGCTTGTACATCCTCCAAACGGTCTGTATGTGCAACGCGGCTTCGGTTCTCGCGCGGATAATTTGGGCGAGTCTCTGCGCGGTGACCATCCTCCAGAAGGATTGTATCTGTACGACGGCGTTCTTCAGCCGGAGGAACTTCCTCCTCTCCAGACAAGCGCGGAACCACTTTTGTATCGTGGTGATGCTCGTTATGATTTGCTGATGCAACTCAATGTCCAGCTTGATCTTCTCGGACTCTCGGAGGAAGACCTTCGTGGTGCCCAGCTGATAATTATCCCGGTTGAGATTGAGGGTCAACAAGAAGTCTCTCACGTCGGACTGCGAGCTCAGAAGACCCTTGGGAAGCAGCATTCGGTACAGCTGTATGAATTCCTCGTACGTCAGCCGCACGTTGAAACCGGCCTGCCTTATTCGGACGGTCTCCAACATTCCCGTGTAGCGCAACTGCCGTTGCACCGTCTCCTCGTCGAATTCGTTCGGCACTTTGTTGGCGTTGCTCTTGATACACCTGATGAAGAAAGGGTTAGCCTGGTTCAGAGTATCCATCAGGCTGTGCAGGCTCTGCTGGAATTGCGCGGATACTGTCATGGGCTGTTTCCTGGCCTTGCCGGGCCCGGTACCGTAACTCTGAGTCCTCCCGGCGAGCGTCTTCACAGTTTGCAGATTTTTCAAGCCCTTTTTACCGCGTTCCCTCGGTCGGAACGATTTGTTTTTCCTGCAAAGATTTCCCTGATAAAATGTGGAATGACTTCGATATCACATGACGTACGTGTTCCTCCTTCTCCTGTTATCCGATTTGTTTTCTTTTTCCACTGCGTTATTGTCATTTTCATTTTTCACAGCATATCGCACGATATGCCCGATGCATCAATATGTGACAAATGGTATTTTGTGCACAGGAGAAGGACTTGCACTCTACTGTCGCTAGCGGTACGCATCGAAAGTATGTATCTAATACACAAAGTGGAATATTAAAGGTAATGGAAGAAAATTAGCGGAGCGTGATTTGATACGGTAGAAAATAGTCGCCATGGTAAGAAACATAGCAAGCTAGCTCAGCTATATACCTACTCCAGTATCTTGAGAAAGATCCGAACGGACGAACATTGTAGTGACCACGGCATAAACCAAACGCGTTAACGCGAACTCTTATTTGTTATTACAATCTGCGGTCGCGATAATGAAGTTGTATCACCAATCAGCGTTACGTTTGCTGCTACGTGTACTGTACAACAAATCTATTCGCATAATCGCGACAACAGCCAGTATACTCTCTACATAGGCATGTGCATACTTAGTAAAAATTGTTACTTCCTTCGCAGAAACTACCGCAGAAACACTTAGCATGCAGCAATCACCGTATTAAATGGCGCATCGAGAGCAAGATTGCAAGATCGACCAACGACAGATTACAGATCTAATGACGAGTGAGATCTTACGAGATGAGAGACATGGAGTGAGGTTTTCCAAACGAAAGAAAGAACAATGCAGCGGTAATGTCGTTGAAGAAATCAAGAGAAAGAGGTGAGAGAGTAAAGCCACGGTACACAGTTCACTGCACATTAATTGCCTACGAAAGTACTATTACCTACGGAAAGGAAACCCATCACCACCGGATATATCGCTATTAGAGCGCGCATACTCTATTCTGGCTGTTCTTTTTTTTTTTTTTGCAAAGGCCAGTAAATCTCTGTAGCTTAAAATTACATTGTTAATTGAGTATCGAGTAGATACGTTTTACATACATGACGATCTGATTAGCGCGTTCCATGACGTTCGCTTCGTCTTTTGGAAGCACCCTCTCTAGCGGTGTGTGAGTATCTCGTCTGAATTTATTATTACTATGGGGCTGGTCTTCCCTGCCGCGTATTACGTAACCCTTCGCCGATGTAACGTTCGACGTGTGTTGCGTCTGATTAATATTTCTAAACTGTGGCCACGATAGGCGATTGTTGTTTACATTGTCGTTGTTTTCGATTTGTATAGGAGGTAATGTGGCGGAGGGAGCGGTCGGCGGTAAGCATACACTGCGCTGCTTCTGATAACTTGGCGGACGAGTGTGTTTGTGCGAACTGAAAAATTCTCTGATCCTTAGTTGTCTCGTCTCGTGTCGGACGATATATCTCTTACGATTAATTTAACTAAGTATCATTTAACTAAGTATCAATGTATTTCTCTCTACAGTACGCTTCTTTACTGACGGTTCCTCAACAATTGTACCGAGCTTTATAGACATGATGCTTACGAGGAATGTATTGTCGATTGATGAATGATTCAAATATAACAGGAGAAAAGTCGAGACGGAGAGATATGATTGACAATATGAATTGTATATGGAACATAAACTTGGTCTTGCGTCATGAAACATGCCCAGGTACAATAGCAAGAGAAGAGCATCATAAAATGGTAGAATGTAATAATCGTATAGCAAATATGTCATGAGAGTATTGCATTACGGCTAATTACGGCTAAAACACGAGAGGTGCAAACATAAATCTAAATAAAATCTGTAGACACACAGAGTTGGAATAGAAATATATGTACGTATATAAGTATATATATATATATATATATATATGTATATGGATTTACAAATTTCACGCGGTTCACACGGATGTGTTTCGCGTTCATTGAATTATCCGAAAGATCGAGATTAACTGGTCAATTAATTCACTGGTCATTAATTAATACTTCAACATGTTACGATGTTGTAAATCCATGGGACGCGTCAACAAAATGTAACATTTGCCAGAATGACACATACAGTGGATCAAAAGACCACTTACGCAATTCGGTTAATAGTTAGATTGACGGCCGACAACGTCACAAGATGGCTACAAAGGGACAAAAGACAATATATGGCCAATATAAATATAATAAAATTCGTACAAATATAAAAAAAAAATTCGTCTTAATTTATAGAACACAGAAACTTTGTCAGCGTGATGCATGTATTATTGACGCACAACGTAGGTTCATACTCCGTAGGTGAGACAATATACAGATCAAACATATTCAAGAAACAAGCGCAACAACATCAGCACTTTCTTCTTACAGTTATTACCAATGTAATACTAAAATATATGTTGCTCTGTTATATAGGTTACAGGTAGAAGCGTTTGATACTTTCTTTTATTACCGTTCATATATAGAGAAATACTATTAGAATAGGAATATCGATAAAAAATGCAAACGTTACCTTATCAAGTTCTCGTTGGGCGTCCTGTATCTATTTTGCACGGACGTTTTATTTCCATCAACTGAAAGCAAAAAGAGATATTCTCGTTAGTTCGTTGCTGATTGATCGACAAATATTAACCGATAAATAACGCATCGTAACGCTCGACTCATACCTCTGCCGTGCCTGTGCGCTCGGCCAGCCTCCTGAAATGCAAAGTGAGCGCGAAAGAAGGCTCGCAGTATGGCCCATCTAAACACGGCGACCGGATCGGCGCCGACTAATTCTCGCACAAAGGCGAGGGAAGAGTTTTTCAAAACTCCGACTACACCGTCAGGTCGCATCAAATCCAGATTCTTTTCCCGCATATTGGCGGCCTGGTACTTGACCGAGCCGGCATAATGACGAACAACGAATGCCGCTTCTCGGCGCTGCGGCGCCTCGTAAAACGGATTCTCTTTGTGCACAGTGTTAAATTTTTGCAGCAACGTCTCGTTCGTGGCGCCAGGAAAGCTGTGAAAGTCACATGTTTAAAATATATTTGAGAAAATTTTTAAATATGCCTCAGGTCACAGGTCACACTGACTTGCACTGGTCATCGAGGAGACACAAAAGACCGTTTGGTTTCCCCTCGATAAGATTGAGACATCCAGAGTTGTCGCTGTATCCTATGTCTGTCCATCTGATGCCCTGCTTGCGATATTCCCGTTGTTCGTATTGGAAAACATGCTGATTGAAGTAATGCTGCAGCTGCTCGTTCGCATAATTGATACACAGTTGCTCGAAACTGTTGCACGTTTTGAAATCTTCAAAACCGAATATATCTAGCACACCTATGCTATTGCCTTGATGATCTCTGAGAGTGTCCTTTTTAGAAAGCAACGCATGGTTCACCTGCAAGCAACATACCAATAGGTTTATTCATCGCACGACTAATATGAAAGAAGCACGTTTGTTTTCGCAGACATAATCGTTTCTATCACCTGCAGTACGATCCAATCGAACAGAGCTCCGTACAGACACTTCGCCATGGCGTCACGTGCCGCAATTGCTTCGGGCAGCCTGTAATTGATGACTAAAGTCTCTCCAGAAGCTCTCGCGCGCTTGGCGGTAAGCGCGGCCAATAGAGTTTCTTGTTTCACCCTGAGCAGCTCCGATATCAGGGCGACAACTTCTGGATTCTTAACACCCACAGCCTCGTCATGATGGTGATACGACTTTCTCGGGTGAAACTCGACATTACCTGGATTAAGAATGTGGAGTTAATTCATTCGGGCGTCGCGACTACTACTACTACTACTACTACTACTACTACTACTACTACTACTACTACTACTACTAGATAATTACCTAGTAAAAGAACCGCCGACAGGACCGCGAAGAGCCGCCTCTGCTTCTCCGCCGTGAAGCCCACCATTTCCATGGACTGTTTCAATCTCGAGAACTCATGTCGCTCGTCGATATTCTCCAGTCCGTAACAGCCGCTTTTGTTTAAGTAATTATACCGATCACAGCTCTCCAAGTGCAACAGCTGTTTTTCTTGCTCACTCGCGCCAGCCAGCAGGTAGTAAAACACGTGATAATTTCTTTCGTTTCGTCCCTGAGAGACAATTCTTGATTTCTCCAGGAGATACTTCTGAACCACAGCACTGTAAAATGCGTTTTACAGAAGGTCAATTGCCGTCTTTATCGCGCTTTATACATTTTTTTTTTTCATAGCGGAACACACATACCCGTGAACCATTCCATTTTCTTTATAGTTTACTTGGATAAACTTGCCGAAGCGACTGCTGTTATTGTTGTGTGCCGTTTTCGCGTTGCCAAACGCTTCCAGGACAGGGCCGGCACTGAGTATCGTCTGTTCCACTCCGCTGCCGTGCGAACCCTTCTGACTAAGCGCAGTCAAATGATGCAACAAGAAATTCGTCGATTCCGTTTTACCGGAACCGCTCTCACCGCTGATAACGATGCACTGATTCTTTTTCTCCTTGAGCATACAATGATAAGCTGCATCGGCTATGGCAAATATATGCGGAGGTATGTCTGGCCCAAGTCTTCTGTTTTGATATAGTTTCACGTATTTCGGATTGTAGATGGGATAAAATTTGAATGGATTCAAGGCAATCAGTATGCTGCCAACATAAGTATATATGTTGCCAGCGAGAAACCTGGCTCTCAGGTTGTCCAACAGTGTTTGCTCGTTCAGATCCGGAAGCTGACACAGATCCGGGTATTCTTTGTCGCGTGGCTGATAAAGAAATCTGTTGAAATAGTCCTTTAAAAGCTGAGGGTCCATAGGAAATCTACTGTCGGACCACAAGTAGTCCGGCTGCTTCTTTCGCAGATAAAACCTGCAAGTACACAGTAAATGCGTGTGTGACGTGACGATTGTTTACCGTGAGAGATCGGTCTCGTGCGATTAATGATGAAACAAAGCGACAAATTACAACAGAACAGTGATAGAGACAGACCTGTAGTATTCCTGTTGAGCGGCATTTTTCGGCCACAGTAACATGAGCGCTACGGGGCACTCGGTAGGGCCAAGTCGTCTTTCCTTACATTCTTGCCCAACGGAATTTCCTACTACTTCCGCTAACTCATAGCCGTTCGAAACAGAAACGTCAACCAATCCGAGTCTTTCGATAATACATTCCACTATCTCGGCCGATGAGGTCTGCTTCGTGGCTTTGATGGATAGTGCCTCATATTCTGGGCTCCATTCACCCACAAATACCTGCACTACACCAGATCCACAGTTGTCCATCTTTTTTAACCCTAAATTCATAATCATGAGAATAGAAGAATATTTGGAGAATTAAATCGCCGCCAACCCGATAACGTACCTTGTATCTATGAGGGTTAACAAGTACGTCCTCTATCATCTGTACAGTATTTCAAATATGTCGCTTCTCCTACTGTTTCTTGCTTACTTGTTATGTACAACCATTGATTTAAGCGTTTAAAATAATTATTATACATTTTGTTTCACAAATTTGCGATAATATATCAGTGTTTATGATTATTTACACGCATTGATTATACTATGTAGCATCCGCCGTAATTTGTATTATACAATTTACTCTTGCCAAAAATACACTCGCAGCTGGCCAGGTCTCAAGAGTCACAGTAGACTTTAATTACATATATCATTTAAAGTTTTAAAAAATAAATCTGCGTGACAAAATAAAATCTTGCAAGTATATCTCTTCTCTGGTCGTAAAGCATATTAATAAGAAATTGTAAAGCCCTTCCAAATTATCCCTAGGTCCTTCTTAAGTCTGTTATAGGATACGGAGCGCGATTCATAGGACAGAATATCATAGAGTATTCCAACCATTGGTTAATAATTATTAGTGTAGTAAAATAGAGTAGTTAGAATTATATTTTTACTCTTCTTTTAGATTTATCTTTTAGATTCAGTCAATTTCATAGGTCCTTGTTCCTGATTTGTTCATTAGGAATTGGGAGTATTTTCACAGCTACAGAATAGCCTGTTTTACTTGGATATCATGCGTTTATAGCGGACTGTCCGTTAGAACCTTTCTGACAGCCATTAAATTATCATCGTCACGACATTCACTAAACAGGTGATAAGCGTGGGTGTGCTATTGTTGGCAGGCAGTAACTTAGTTTCCTTGTTCTGACAAAAATCCAAGATCTTCACAGCGCATTGCAAACATTCTCACGCCTCCTGAGTATTTCAGTATATTTATTGCGACAGTTTATAGTTGTGGGGCTATGTGTCATTTCCATGTATTGCACAAAGCTTTTTCTAAGTCAGAAAGGTGTTCTATCTGAAAAGAATATGAATATGAATCGGTCAGGCTATGGAGACGGTGAGTTATTTGTGTAAAAAACAAGTAGAAAAACACTATGGGCATTTAAAATGTCACTTATATATTCAGTCAATATATTCAAGTATAATATACACACGTACACATGTATAGACACCCGGAGTATTTCGAGCATCTAACGGTGGGCTTGAAGTTGAAACTTTGTGTTAATATAGAAAAGGATCGGGTTACCCGTGGATTCAAATAAACCAATTCCGAATTTAGACACCGATATAACCCCCCTTCAGTTCAACATAAAAATGATAGGCAGAGTGAGTGTATTGCATCTCTATTTTAAAACTCTTTAAGATAGAACGCACTTCGAATGAACACGAGAGGGAGTTATTAAAGCGGCTATTAAAAGCAGAGGCGGATAAATATAATCCCGTGTACCAATCGCGATCTGACCGGCGGTGAATCTCGCGACTTTAATTCCTCGCCGTAGTCGTTGTCGCCGCCGGTCGCGGTGTCACGCGGTGTTTTGTAAAGTCAGCTGAATTTAAAAATATCCCATTTCTGCCCCGGAGACTCGTTTTTCCGGCTGCTTGGCGCTCACAAATAAACCGCTACTCTCTTTCTCTCGCTTCCTCTCGCGCGCGCCCGACGACGACGACGACGACGACGACGACGACGACGACGACGACGACGACAAGCACGACGGCGATGAGAAAAACACCGTTCGCTCCGGAATAAAAACAGCGTTCGCCCGTCGCGGTCCAGGGGCTCTCGACGGATCGGCTCTCTCGAATTGATCGTGCCTCGCGCGTACACACAAAGGGTTGCACGCGATAAGCAAGTGCGGCACGCGCAATGTTCGCGATACGCGATTCGCTCTGTCCGCGTCCCGAGCGGGAGCTGACGGCTGACACTCGCGGAAGGAGAGATCTCGTCATCGTGTTGCCGTACGGATTGGCAGGTCATGGACCATGCCACCAATCATGGCTTGCCCGGGACGCGAGCATAAACGTCAACACGATAAACCAAGCTCCAAGTCGTAGGAATGTCTCGACGGACGGATGGACGGACGAACAAACGAACAAACGAACAAACGAACGAACAACCACGAGGCGCACGGCACACGTACGGAACGCGCGATATCACCGCGAAGGAATGTATATCGTTGTGAGACGTGCTTGCTCGCTTGCGTGCATGCATGCATGCATGCGTGCTGCACGCGTGCATGCGTGCGTGCGTGCGTGTATTACACCAGAAGGCGTTCGCTCCCACGACGGTCTCGGAATACTTTTCTAGAGTTACCTTCTCCGTGAGTCGTGGGGTTCATGCAGCAACGCATCGTCCTCTGACAGCGAGCGAATCTCTGTACACTCGGACATGCTGCCGCGGGCAGAAGCCCGCCGCGTGAAAAGGCTGCCGTCTGTCCTCGGAGCCCGACGATCTCTCTCTTCCCTTTCGCATCCGCTTCCAGAGTCTCGGATCTCTCAAGAGATCCCTCTCTCTCTCTCTCTCTCTCTCTCTCTTTCTCTTTCTCTCTCTCTCTCTCGCTCTTTCTCTTTCTAGCTCTCTCTCTCTCTCTCTCTCGCTCTCTCAGTCGCTCCTTCGCTCGGTCCGTCTCCCTCCCTCTTTCTCGTTTTCTCTCTCCAGCTCCCGAGCGCACCGAAAGTCTCGCGAGAGAGAGACCAACAAGCGCGATTCGACACGATTCGTCCACTCGCGCGCGGCCAGCTCGCAGCAGGTATCCGCGGCTCCGTTTTCCTCGGCCGTGTAGGCGGCACGGCCGGACGACGGAGACACGCGTGCACGTTACAATACGGGCGGGTTGACACTTCGGTAAACACGCGTCGATCGGCACTCACCACACTTACGGATCCGCAGCACGCGCAACACCGGTCTGGCCGCGGCCCGTGACGCGCTCCAAATCGCGGTCGATTCTCTCAGCGGCGCGTCCCGCGTACAGCACGTTCCACCGCGCTAATTAACGCACGATACCGATGACACGGATGACGGGCCCTTGCCCAGTTTATCGTCCTTCGTCTCCGCACGGGAACCTGCGTCCCGATACGTCCACCATTTCGATTTTTACGATCACGTGGTACGCGCCGGCGGCCGGCGATTGGTCGCGCGAGCGCGGCGACGTGACCAGTCGCCGATGCACCTCTGCCATTCGAACGAACGCGGACGATGCTTTTGGAGCCGTCTGTCGCTGACACGGCGAAGCCTCTGGCCGGCGCGGCCACGAGGTCCCGTCCCCGTCACTTCTCCGTCGCTTCGCCGCGATCCTCACGCGCGATTCCCTCGGCCTGACCGTCACGTCGAGCCGAGCGTGATCCACCGTGAGCGCTGCTGATTCAGTCTCCAGCTCCTCCGCCGGACACGTCATTGAGTCGATGCGAAATTATCATCGACTACGGTACCATTGATATATATGCGCGGATACGCGTCATGACGTCGTTATCGACTCGGAGGTAAACGTATGACGCCAGTGTTGAGGGTGCGCGCGCGCAAGCGCGCACGGCGCGTCCTCGCGGCTGACGCTCGTTGCCGAGCCCGAGATCTCGATTACCGACCGGATCGAGTCGCTGATGATCGAGGAAAAGAGGGCGCAAGCGACTGGTGCCGCGCGGAATTCGCCGCGGCAGCTCGTCTCGCCGAGAGAGAGAGAGAGAGAGAGAGAGAGAGAGAGAGAGACTTTGCCGCGACTTCGTCGTCGCCGTATCGAACGAGAACGGAGAATATCGTTTGAATCGAACTTTGCGGCGAAGCAACGAAGAGGCACGTGCATTGTCACGGGAGACACACGAGGCGCTCCGATCCGATTCGAGTGTGAAACGTCGCGCGAAATGTTTCCGTGCACCGACAAGGTATTTCGCTGCTGTCTTCATTATCGTATATATATTATATTATCGACCGCCATATTTGAAAGATTAACCTACGCAGCATCATTGTTCGCCGTTCTAGCAACCGCGGCGAAAGCGCTCGCACGCGATTCTGCACGTGCAATTTTACGCGCCACTGCGTTTTAGTGCGACCAAGGGAGCGTGTTTGATTTTAGCAGGAAAAATCAAACGTTGCACGTGTCGATCTTTTCTTGCATTCGCACATCTCCCCTTCTCTCCCTCCCGTCCTCTTGCCGAGAACCGAGAACAGGTTGAAAAATCTCGTCGTTGTTGGGTAGCACATATCGCGGATTCTCAAAAAGAGATAAAAAGGGACAGAACCCTTCGTACGTTTTTACACACTGGCACAGTTTAGCTCCGCGAAAATAGATATCCGATAAAGCTCGAGCGAGCGCTTTCGCAATCTGAAAAAATTAGCTTGGCGAAAAGCGCACATGGCAGCTCGTATCATGTCCGCGTTATTTTCCATTTGGCCCGTTTACGGCATCGAACCGTTCGACGAGCTCGTGCATTTTTTAAAAAGCAATCGGCCGAGGCGCGAGCGATAGAGCCGGTCAACTATAGGTTAAGAGCAATATCGACAAAAGGGAATTCATTGTGCTATTGATGCGTGTGCATATGCATACATTCATATATCGTACAAACATACATATATGAAGATGTACACACACACACACACACACACACACACACACACACACACACACACATATATATATATACATACATACATACATATATTTCCGTGCATCAATATAGAATATTAGATATATACATATATACGCGTACATACATACACACACACACACACCTATATATCGTTAGTAAATGCTTTTATAAACAAATTCACGGGCGTTACACGTTAGAATTGAAACGCGCAGGCGGTAGAAATAATCAAATACGCATCGCTAATGATCAATTATTGCGCGGACGGTACAATAATCAAGCGATACAAAATTTATGAATCTTTAGAATCCACACGAACATATCACGTTAATATTACTATTAGCGAAAAGTCAGATACGCACATACGATACACACATACGAATACATACCGTCCACCATATCATGGTGTGTATGTGTGTTAATTTATTTAATATAAATGACGCGTCTAAATAAATAATACACGTGCATACATACGTACATTTCTCCTTATCTCTTTTTCTCTCTTCTTCTTCTCTTTCTCTCTCTCTCTCTCTCTCTCTCTCTCTCTCAGCCCCAAAGATCCTTATAGTTTTGACGTCACCAGATAAATCCGAATGGTCGGCACGTGATCGGTCGATTCAACGGTGATCGATGACGAATGAATGTCATAACGCCACGATTGCCTTCGACGTCGCTGGGATAGGTATCTCGGGATATAGTAATGGAATGCCATACGTCTAGTATTAATGGTCCATGTGCGACACGGAGAATTTCGGTATCGGCGTTCTCTCGGTGTGTCTGCATTAACGGAAGTAGCGACGCGGCGGCTGATCAATACGGCCACAACCACCGGCGGCCACTCGCACCGGTCAGTCGTTCGCGTAAAAACGCGCATTGTCGCACGATTCAGAATGTAATCGGTCGCGATAAGCGCGCGTGCGAGTGTCCATCGCGCAATTCGCAAACGCCGACGCGCTCGAGCGATAATGCGCGTCCGTCGCGCGTCCGTCGTCGATCGTCGCGAAAAACCTCCGTGCTTCCTCCGGCGCTTCTCACGCCGCACAACTGCCCTCCCTCCCTCCCGGCCGTAGATTCCGCCACGGAACTAGTTTCGATCTTTCGAGATCCAACGCGGCTCATCGAGAGATATATACGTGGCCGTAGAGGGAAGCGGGGAAAGCTGGCTAGACGAGCCTGAAATGTTACTCGCGGGATAATTGGGTTTTATGAATTATTTCACGAAATTCGCCGATTAGCCGCTGATCGAGTAACGGCGCTCTCGCGGCGCCGCCCGGTAGCCCGGTGACGCAAATCGAAATCGCATCTCGCAAACAACAGTATCGATCTCGCGAGAGAACGGCCGCGCGCCACGACGGTATCTGGAAAACGCATGGACTAGCAAATGCCACGTACAACAGTCTGATAAATGTTTCGTATACGTGCTGAGTTGTGACTACTCGTGCATACATATTGTGAATACCACACTTAGCATATATTCACGCCCCACACGTTTACTTTTATGTATTGTACACGCTCTCGAAAGCCCCCCTCGTGCGCGCGCTCTTTCTCCCTAACACTCCCCCCTCCCCCCCGCCTGCCCGCTTCGTTTCCGTATCGTCCTCTCCTTTCTCGCGCGCGCGTTTCCTCCGATCTGTCATTCTCTCTTTCACGGCCGCGAACGTGCTGACGAGTCGGCAATATTTGAAACACGTGCGCAAGTCTGCAATCCCCCGAGTTAAAATGTTACCAAAGCGGATGCTGCTGCCGCTGTTTTTCCCCTCCCTCCTCCCGTCGTTTTGTTTCCGCCGTGAAAAGTTCCAGCCGGGCTGGGCCCCCCGCCGCCCTTCTTCGTTTCCTTCCGTCTGTCGTTCTGCCTACGCGATCCCTATGCGGCCATAGCGGTTATGTACCGATTACGAATGCATCGTGGTACAATCGCCCGCCAATTCAACAGGCTCGCAATTCAATATCGCCACGGGCTATATACCGGCGTTCGCAAGAACGAAAATGAGGGAGAGAGAGAGAGAGAGAGAGAGAGAGAGAGAGAGAGGGAGAGAGAGAGAGAGAGAGAGAGAGACAGAGAGAGAGAGAGAGGCAAGGAGGGACTCGCGAGTGAAATTTCATAGTGCCCAATATTACATCGAGGAATGAGACAGCGTGCTCCGGAAATGGCGATGGATTTAACGGGGCGCAAAGTTTCGGTCGGAGGAATGATAGGAACAGCAGCGGCGGCAACGGCAGGTATTTACGTACCGCCGCGCCGCGTCACGCGACATGTAAAAGTGGCAGCCGCACGACACCCCCCCGCCCCTCGCCGCGTTTAATATATTGTATCGGAACTATATATAAAGACTATAATATCCGTGTGCAGCGAGCGGCCACATGCGGGTAAGCATTATTGACGGAAGCGTTAGTACCTGCGCGCGAACATGGACACCCGCGCGCTGTCCCGCGCAATGTATCGTGCAAATGCAAGCCAGGGGCAAGCTTGCTGCTGCTACGATTGGCCCGGTTTCGGTATTTTTCGAAGAAAAACTCGCGTCCCGCGGCCAGCAGCCTTCGGCCCTTCGGGCCGGCGCGGCGCGGCGGAAGCCGCGGGCACTTATTACTTACGACGCGCGACAGCCATTGTTTGCGTTGCCGGCGCGGAATAAAAAGCTTACATCGATGACAGCGGCGCGCCTTGATGTCTGCAGAGAGAGAGAGAGAACCGTCGCTGTGCTACCGTGCACGGCGCGCATCTCTTATTGATAACTATGGAGCATGAAGGTCTATTTATAACCCCCGGCCCCCAATGAAATCGCCCTACATCGAACCGACGTCGACGTTTCTTCGTCGACCAGCCGATTACGTCGAAATGGCAGATGTCGGTGCCGGGCGGGCACGAACTTTTCGTCATTGGCTCACGCGCGATCATCGGCGCACGCCGAATTCCATTAAGCGCGCGAGTTAATTGCTCGACGCGCGTCTCTGCCGACGCGGCAGCGAGCGGCGTTTGAGATACGAAGGATACCGCGTTTCTCCGAAGCGGACGATCGAAAATCAAGCTCTTCAGCCCTCGTCCGCTCCTTCGATCTCTCGCGGGTAAATATAGAGAAAGGGATATATGATATATCTCACCGGTTTTTTTCATTTCGAAATATGTTATAAAGGATGAAATTCTGAGTGACTTTTCCTGATACAACTATATGGGGGTCGCTTACAATTTCCGAGATATTTGACTTTGAAGTTTTGGAATTTTCATGTTAAATTCCAGATATCATAAGCTGACGTTATTTACAGTACAATCCAAACAGTTAATCCAAACATAGTGTATGCATAGAAATATAGGAAACAGTACATATAAACGGGAGAGGGGCTCCGCCCCTCCCCCGCACTCCCACCCCAAAAAAATCCTAACTTAACCTAACTTATTGCATCTTTATATATTGTTGGGCGATGTTGGAAAGATCTCCTTAAAAGCCACAACACCTAATTACGTATATACAGATATTATAATAAATTACTCGTAAGTTGAACTAGGTGATGGATCTTAAAAGAACTTTTTCCAACAATGTCCAAAAATATATAAAGATGCAATAAGTTAGGTTAGGTTAGGATTTGTTTGGGGAGGGGCGGAGCCCCTCTCCCGCTTATATGTACTGTTTCCTATATTTAAAGTAAATGAAAACTGCTTGTCTACTTCAAATATACCATTCAACGTACCATTATAAAACTTTAAAGTCAAATATTTCAGAAACAGCGACCCCCATATACTTGTATTAGGAAAAGTACTCAGAATTTCATCCTTTATAACATATTTCAAAATAAAAAAAATCGGTGAGATGTACCCTTTGCTATATATTTACCCTCTCGCGTAAAGCTTGACATGTAGAGAACTGTTGGTATTTATAAAAAAAAAAAGTGTATCTCTCATAATCGTCTTCCCCTCCTGCAGTCTCGTTCTCTCTCGAGATCTTTTCTGTTCAGAGACCCTCTTTAAAAAGTTACAGAAACAGTGCATGTACTATGTGTGCGCTTTCAGCGCCGTGAATTCACCGGAGGCTCATCTCGCGCCAGATATTTTTTGCCTTCGGTGATTTTTGACCCGAATAGAAAGTCTTGACGCGTAGTCTCGAGGGTGTTATTTTGGAAGGTAGCCATTTCGAGTTCTCCGAGTCTGTAAACGGGTACAAGCGGCAAAAGAAAGACATACGTCTCTCTGACTCACTTTGCCGGTGTGCAAGACGTACACACGAGTGCCGAAATCGCGGAGCGAGAATTTCCCTCTCAGTGGTGCGAGTCGACGATACGACCCGCCGTTTGCGCGCGCGCGCGCGAACGGGATTTACTACTTATTAAAGCACGTCGTAACTACTCGCTAACGGCTCGCCGCTCGCGAGCGCGTAACTGTTGTTCGTTCGTACAACAGCGAATCTGCAGCGAGACACGAGGGGGAGGAGGAGGAGAACGAGGATGGGGATGGGAGTGCAGCTGGCTGAGGAATTAATTAAAGATCGAGTATCTTTATGAAAACGTGCAAATTTCTTATCTCGGCGATGCGATCGCAGGCGTAACGCCCGTTTCCACGACCGGCATCTACGGAGACTTCGAATAGCAGACATTGCGTGTCCCACGAGCCGTTCAACCCCCGCATTACGACCCTTTCTCACGCTAACGAGAGAACAGTTTACACGGACATCCTAATGAACCAATCTTCCGTCTGAAATACGAATAGTCGGAATAGCCAGCGACATATAAATATCGGGCGCGCAGGACGTTATTATACAGACGTGCATTGCTTATTTCGCGGTAGCCGCTGGGAGTGGTATTAATGAGAAACAAAGTGATTCGCGCAATCGCGACCGGTCGGACTCTCCCTCGCGCTCGCTTCGTTTCCCCATTTTCGCGCACAAATCGAATCGCTCCGGCATGCAACGCGGTTTCTCGCGGTCTTTCTTTTTACAAGCCCGACTCTGATAGCCGCTCAGGATTGCGTTTACTCCGACTAACTGGAGATCGCCATCGCCCCTCGTAAAGTAATCACGGATGACTGGTGTGCGCGGGCCGACTATCGTTATCGGGATTAGGTATCGCTGCACTTACAGCGGGACTAATTTTCTGCCACTTTCCCGTCGCGCGAGAATCGAGCGCCGACGTGTAATTGCTCACGGTCCCATTCGCTCGGTTCGGAAAGCCGAGTAAAGACTCGGCGCAGCAATGCTAATTGGGATCACTCAATCTTGCACGAGGGGACGCGAAGCTCGGTCGGCGCGGGGGGGATCGAAAGTGACGTAATTACGGCGAATTCCATTCTCGAACGCGTCATGACGCATTGCACGGGGTTCGGGAGGAGCAACGCCCCGCGTTCTCGGTGAAAATGACGCACGCTACGCGAGCGAGCGAGCGAGCGGGCGAGCGAGCGAGCTCGACGCTCCAGCGGATAGAGATATTCGCCGGACGAAATCCAATCTCGAGCGCACTCGAGAACCGAGGAATTGTCCCGTGCGCGCGCGCGAAAAGCGCGAGACCCGGCGTGTGCGAGACATCACAACGGCAAGCAAATCGCGCGCAGACGGTACGGGTGCGTACCGGCGATTTCGACAGCCTCTCCTCCTCCTTCCCCCCCCCCCCACGAAAACCTCGGGGGTGATCGCGCGCGTCGCGAGCCGGTCGTCGCGCAACGATTTTCGAAGACGTTGCACTCCGGAACGAGCGAACGCATCGCCGAAAGAGGCAGCTCGCTCGCTCACTCGCTCGTTCGTTGTTGCCCACAGAGGAGTAGACCGGCGAGGGTGGCTCGAGAAGGGTGGGCGGCGGGTGAAGGGTGGCTCGGGATTCTCTCGGTGGTCTCGCCGGAACGATCGGGCGGCTCCGACGTCGCTCGTATCTGGCCGGCTTTCACGGCGCCGGCGCTATTTCACCCCTTTGACGTAGCAAAATGGCGGCGGCGTGTCGGAGGCGTCTCCGTTGCAGTGCTCGACGTCGAGCAGTCCGCATACGTTCGCAACAACGTTCCAGCAGATTAACGCGGCGGCAGATCGGACGCAACGCACGGCACCGCGGCACCGTGTTCCTACGTGCGTGAGACACGGGTTTCTTCCTTGCTTCCGGTGACGCCGACTACCCCCGCGCACGGGGTGGCAAGGGCGAGCAGCGTGCGAGTTACGCGTCGGTCGCGGTCGACGCGAAAGCGACGTGAGAAGCAGCGGAGAGCGGTGCCCGGAGAGAGAGAGAGAGAGAGAGAGAGAGAGAGAGAGAGAGAGGAGAGAGTGAGAAAGAGAGGAGGAGAGAGGGAGGGAAAGAGCTAGAGAGCGGGTGATACGGCCAAGTGCGTCCGGTACGTGATATTCTCCAAGTGTTCTCGCGACGCCGCGTGCCTCTTCCGGTCTCTTCCGTCCCTTCGTCCCCTTCTTCTCCCCCCTCTCCCTCTTCTCTCTCCATCTGTCAGTTTTCGTCTGAAATTCGTCCGTTTTGCACCCCTCTCCCTCCCTGTCCCTCGTTGTTGCCTCCTTTTTCTCTCTTTCGCTCTGCTCCGCTCTCTCCCTCCCTTCCGCCCTTTCACCTGCCCCTAGCCTCTCCCGCCGCTGCCTCGGTCCTCGCTCCTTCCTCCCGGTGGTCTCTCTGTCTCTCTCTCTACGCTTCTTCGTCCCGGTAACTCTTTCACGGCACCATCGGTGAGATGCGCGTGACCGGTCGCGCCTCGGGACGACGGCGACGACGTGCCTGGCGTTGTTGGTGCACGTTCCTCTGACGAGCACGAGAGACACGCGGCGAGACACGGCACGTCCACCGCAGCCCTCGCTACTATGATAATAACGAGAGGCACGGCGACGGCGGTGGCGGCAAGGTGGGCGCTCCTCCTCAAGCGAGAGACGCTCGGCCGAACTTACCACAACGGTGGACAACGGCGACCGGCGGTGACCCGTAGCGACGTGGCTACGGCGATGTTGTCTCTTTGCGGCCGTACACACGCATCGCACGGGAACGACAGCAGCAACAGCAGAACCGACAGCAGCAGCAGCAGCAACAACAACAACAACAACACCATCACCTTCGTAGGCACCGGGCCGCAGTGGACCATCAGCAGCAGCTGCACAGTCGCGTTGGCGTTGCCGTGTCACTATTATTGTCAGCGTCGCATCGGTGATATCGCCGTAACGTCGGACTGCACGTTGCTCGTCGACGACCACGAGGACGAACCGATAGCGCGAGCATCTCCGAATCAGCGGCAGCACGAAGACGACGACGACGACGACGACGACGACGACGGCGGTGACGACGACGACGACGACGACGACCAGGAAGACGAGGACGCGAACGAGGCAGCAGTTGTGAACGCCGGTGACGGTTGCCTTCTCAATCGCCGGGATAGACTACGTTGTTGCGCGTGACCAAGAGCCTCGCTACGCCGAGTCGATGATACGCGTGATGATACAGTGTGACGATTAAAGCGGCGGACGAACGTGCTAACCGACGACAATCCGCCGGACGGACAGACCAGAGAGAGAGAGAGAGAGAGAGAGAGAGAGAGAGAGAGAGAGAGAGAGAGAGAGAGAGAGAGAGAGAGAGAGAGAGGAAGAGCGAGAGAGAGAAAAAGGGAGAGAGAGAGAGAGAGAGAGAGAGAGAGAGAGAGAGAGAGAGAGAGAGAGAGAGAGAGAGAGAGAGAGTGAGGGAGAAGGAGAGAGACTCTTCGCGAGTTAGTTACGGTTGCCGATAACGGGTCAATCGGCGATAATAGCGTGTAACACAGTCATTTCTACGATCGATCGTCATCGCGCGCACCGGTATAGAGGAGAACGCGGTGTAGAGGAGAGAGAGAGAGAGAGAGAGAGAGAGAGAGAGAGAGAACATAGGAACTCGTGTCACGTACGGTCAGCGGCCAGTGTACATACGGAGAGGGCGAGTGGGTGAGCTGAGGGGGGCTGAAGAGAGAGAGAGAGGAGGGTGAAGGTATATCGGCCGATTCAGATAAGCCGTGTTGCGATAAGGTATGGACGCTCCGTTACGGCCGTGATCAATCTGTGACAGACTGCAAACAGAGTTTTTGTGAGAAGAAGTAGAAGGAAAGAGAAAGAGGGAAAAACAAGACGAGACGCGGTCGGCCGAGCGGGCGGCCGCACGAGTCGAGCTTACCGTGAACTCGCGATTCGCATAAATAGCGTAGGTCGCGACTACTCGACACGTAACGTGTACACACCGTTTAAATCGCGTACGCGCACACATACACATCACATACACGCGTATGTATACACACGTATATATCTATCTATAATATATCTATACGCGCATGCATGCATATACGTATCTCGCGTTCGTATATTGTACGTGATAGAGGCGCACAGTGAATAAAAACAAGGAAGGAAAGTGAAAGAAAGGGAGAGAAGAAAAGAAAGAGAGAGAGAGAGAGAGAGAGGGGGGGAGGAAGAGAAAAGAAAAGAAAAAAAAAAGAGACTATTAGTGTGGGAATACAAGAGGTGTAGGAGCCTGTACATTGTATACGAGAGAGGGAGAGAGTATATCTCTCCCCGAATCGGCGTGTTTCATCGTGAGGCCGCATCGTCTTCGTACGAATCTACATGCCACATCGAGTGTCCCCTCGACCGATTGAGGACAATTCGGGAAATTAAGCCGACCAATCGAGGACCCTCCGACCATGTCGCTGCTCAGCGTAACGGGTGAGTCTGCTCATTGAGCGTCTCTTCAAACTTATAGTTTATTGAATTACACGATGGATGTAAACGTATAGTTACCTGGATCGGTGATATATTTGCCGGTTGACTGCGATCTCGAGGATCTCGCGAAGCAACCTGAGCCCTGATCTTCGTCTGCTCCGTAGAGTTTTATATTTTTTAAGGAATTACCGGAGGTTACGTCTGTCGAAAGGGGGAGGCTATAAACAAGTCGTTATGCCTGAGAGCGTCGACACGATTAGCGTGTCCACGTCTCTCGTGCGAGTTACACCGTTAAAAGATTCACATCTCAAAGTAACAAAATATGCGATATAGCGCTATTAAAGTCCCGTGCACAAAAAAAAAAGAGAGTGGCGGCTGCCTCGAAATCGCTCCGACTTCTTTATGAGCTTTTCGTCGGAGATAAAAACTCCTTTCCGTTGGAAAAGTTCAAAGAGGATTTTCAGGTCTTTTCCGGATTTGCGTGCCGCGAGGAGAGCGAGAGAGAGAGAGAGAGAGAGAGAGAGAGAAAGGAAAAATAAAAAGGCGGGTCGGGAATTCTCATAGCCGGTATCAATCATTGTTGCGCCACTGGTTGGCTGGTGAACGCGCGAGGGGCGAATTAAGCGGAATGCTAGACGCGTGATGTAATTAGCGTAAATGAAATCGCTAATTGCGCTAATAGGGGACGGTAGTTGACGTTGGCGTGTTACGACCGGCACATTTAAGTATTGCGAAAAATGTCTCGTTTTCCACGCTGTTATTCTCACCGGACGCGAAACTCCGGCGCCGGCCGTGTCGCTCACGACTGACGCACTTAATTTCCCCGGTACCGTGGAGAAATTACAATGCGCCGTGCTGAATTATAATCCGGCGCTACGACGACGTTGACGACGACGACGACGACGACGACGACGACGACGACGACGACGACGACGGTGCGATACGCGCGACAAGATGACATGCGCGACTCGCGCCATATCGATCGGCCGCTTTTATCGTTATCGCACGCATCTCTTTTCCATTGTCTCGCCGACGAGCGCGGCTTGATTATCGACTTAGCGTGATTTATGCAGCGTCTTGCGCGTCTCGCGATCGCGCGCGCGGTCGCCGCGGGCTGAATGCGCGGCGACATACGCGGCCGGAATCGATATCCAAACGCCGCGAGATAGCGACTCCCGGGCGACTGTGTAACTTGATTTTATGATGGATGCAGGACGGTTATATCCATCATAACTTAATACCGGCCACGGATATCTCCTGTTCTAGGCGGAAAAATATAGATGTGGCCGGCTAAAAAATATGATCGCGCATAAAGCGATTTCAGAAGCGAAGCTCACTGTTCCGTGAATAGCCGCGTGCACCCGTCCGCTCGCCCGCAAACTCGCGCGATACCTACTGGAATCCGACTTGATGTAGCGGGGTAATCCAGTGCTTACGGGGGCACCAGCCGAGGGAGATACGTACAAATTTCGTACGCTTTTATACGTATCATCCTCGTGTATCTTCAGCGTGCCGAGAGACAGCCAGACGCTAAGATCCCTCTCTTTCTCTCTCTCTCTCTCTCTCTCTCTCTCTCTCTCTCTCTCTCTCTCTCATTCTCTCATTCTCTTAGTCCGCAATATCGATATTCGTGGTCCAGCCATGGGCCAATGAACTCCTTCTCTTACCAAACGCGCTTGGCGCATTATTTTTCGTAATGTCAGCGTCCAGTAATGTCGCGACGCGGTTCTCTGAGCGGTGAATTCTCCGGCTGCAAAAATCCGTAGATTTATCTCGGTAATGCGCCGGCAATTTTAATAGAATAACGGATAGCTCCTTTTCCACCGCGTACGTGCATTTGCAGACACTTGGCCGCTACTCAATACATATTTCTGGCGGGTCTAGAACTAGGCGGGCACTAGTGCGGCACGATACCACCATGTATCTTGCTTGAAGTTACATTCCACCAAGCTTTAACATACATTGTTCACTCGTAGAGATCCAGATGGAAATATCTTTCCCCCGAACACACGTATGCACACACATATGCGCATCCGAATCCCACAGCCTTCACTCCCCCCGCTACCGTACTTTGCGTCGCGGCGAATGTCCGGGATGGAAATGGCTGACGCGGTGTCTGCTGAGAGAGAGACAGAGAGAGAGAGAGAGAGAGAGAGAGAGAGAGAGAGAGAGTCGGGGGATCCTAAAAATATATCGGTTGACAATAACGAGAAATAACGCGCGGCGTCGTCCCCGCCGTCCTCGTCCCGTGTGTATTCATAAATATCGCCGGTTCATGCGCGAGTCGACGACAATGCGCATACACACAGGTACGCGTACACAGGTAGACAGGCAGGCAGGCAGGCAGGCAGGCAGACGGGCGGGCAGGCAACGCGCACCTGTGACTCAGGTGTGTTCAGGTGGTTTCTTCCACGGCCGTGTGTACACAGCGCGCGCGTCCGTACATCAGCGAGAGCGAGTGTTCGTCCATGACTATGAGACACGGGGAGCATAGTGCAACGGTTGACCCCGGTGCGCGGGGTCATTCCCTCCTTCAGCCACAGCTTCGACCCCACTCGCTTCGAGCCACCGTCGCCCCCTACCGCGGCTCTTCTGCCACCCCTCTTCCTCCGCCCGGCCCCGCCGCCGCCACTGCCGCTGCCGCCGCCGCCGCCGCCGCCGCCGCCGCCGCCGCCCCTTTCGTCTTCTGCCATCGTCTTCTCAACCGGGGCAGCTACTGCTATCACAACCACCACGCGATTCACCTCTTTATCTCTTTTTCTTTCCCTCCCGCCCCTCTCTGCCGCCCGCCCACCCACCCATCCACCTACCTACCTACCCGCTCGCCCTCTTTCCATCTCTCCCACCGCTCGTCGCTCGAGCAGCGATGTATCTACCAGGTGGTACGAACTATGTAAACTCCCGTATGTATGCTATATGCAGTGGTGCCGCGCGAGCACGGGCCTGGATTTTCCCTCTGCCTGCCGGTCGGGGGACAAAGTTGCAGGGCGCGGAAAATCGTGCGGCGTCGATAGAGTAGCGCCGAGTAGCGATTGTTCGTTGGTCTTGCCGTGCGCTTCGCGGCGAGGGGGAAGGGGGGCGGGCGCGACCGGCAAGACGAGAGCGACGAGCCGGCCGGCCGGCGTATCGTCGGGGAAAAGGTGGCAATTTGCGTGCGGAAACAACGATCCGATCCGAGCACCGAGGCCGGTGATTAAAACGGACTCGCGCTTTGCATACGGTCTAATTTATCTCTTGCCGTGGCTTTAGACCCCGGCAGATCCCTGCAGAAGCAAGCGGTCCGATTAGGAGGATTCGCTCGCGTCGAAATTATCTCCGCCGGATAAATACGACTCCCCCCGCGGTATCTGATGGAGAACGCGCGGAGGTTCTCGGGATACTCGAGCGATCGGTCATGAGGAAATACTTTCAAGTCACGTGAGAAAAAAACACGAGCCGCTGGGAATCTACATTCGCCCGCCCGTATGCCGCCGCGCCGGGGGGAAAGTTCGCCGGACGTTTTCGCAATAACGATCGAGCGAGACGGAGGCCGACGTTGTAAAAAGTACAATGATAGCGTAGCCGGGCGAGAAGTGATAGCGGAAAAGCGAGAGGAAGTCCGCGAGGAGCAAGAAGTGATTGAGGAGTGCCATCACGCGAAAAAGAAACTCCCTCGTTCTTCGAGTCCAATCCACTCAGACCTTGTACTTATAATCGTCTGCGCTACTCGCACTTACGTTTCGTCGCGGCGACGCTCCTCCGGCGTATCTTTTTGATTTTTTAAAACGCTCGCGCGCCATTCGAAATACCTCGACTCGTTCCGAGTGTCACGAGGAAAGATGGCAAAAAGGGAGAATAGCTCAAACGCTCTCGTTCGTGTTACTCCGAGGGAGAGACGGAGAGCGAGAGGGGGAGAGAGAGAGGGTGGGGGGCGACTCGAAAGGTGCTTTGTAAAAAATTTGCCGAAAAATTCACAAGGAAAGGATTTGCTTTAGCGCGATTTTTCCGGCGCGCTCTCGGCCGCTGCACGTGTGCGCGGCATTGTCATTGTAAATCTCCCTCGTAGTACTCTTCCCCGTCAGCGAAAATACACAACGCTCTCAATGGCGACGTCTCTGGCAGAGACCTACTTTCTTTCTATCGCGTCCTCGTCCCTCGTCCGCCCTCGCGTAGGGCCGCGCGCGCATTTGCACCGCGTCCGCCGGGTCCGCTCTTCCTCGCCGTGACGCCGGAAAGGTGTCATCGTTAATGGAGATGAAACGCTCGCAATAACGACGACAATCCGTTCCGTTCGCTTAACGAGCGCGCGAGCGGACGTTTATTTCTTCGCTCGTCGTGCGTGTTCCGCTACGCGCTGCGCTCCGCTCCGCTCTGCGCCGCGCGCGTCGCGTCGTACGGCGACGCGAGGAGTTTCTTCCTGTGGAAAACGCGAAAATCCTCACGAGAAAATCACGCCGCGGCACGTACCGCCGTCTCGGGCGCGTGCGCGCTCTTTTCTCCAGAATATTTTATATTTCATGTAATAGTCGTGCCGCGGCTCTGTGTGTATGTACAAGAAGACGTGCGCGGCAGTATTTTCACATAGCTGCGAATTCCCCGACTCCGTGGCGATCACAAAGGCCGATCGAACGGCCGTCGCGTCGGGGAAGATTTCGCCGTGCGATCGTTGACAAACGAGCGTCGCGCGGCCTTTGAAGCAACGGAGCTCGTGGAAAAAGTCCTAAGTAGCGTCCGGAATTTTTCTCCGGGAGCGCATTATCATTCCGACTTCAAATAACTCCCCGAGCTCCGCACACGATACCTATACATTCGAGACGTGTACGAAAGAGAGAGAGAGAGAGAGAGAGAGAGAGAGAGAGAGTGAGAGAGAGGTGGGGAGAGAAGGTACATGACTAACCAAATCACCCTATACATACGGAGACGCGGTCGCGATCGGTAGGGAAATTTTCGCCTCTCGGCAGGGAAATTTCCGTTGCTGATGCTGATGCGTTGCCGGAATGCTGATTTTTACGGACGGCGACACG